TTTTCAAAATCTAAAAACTGAACCCTCAAAACATGCTCTTGGCAACCATGTACACCATGGCCTAGTTTTTGAAATTCTAGGCAACAAGTACTTATGTGAGTTTTCCTTTTTGGAGCTTTTAAATTTTGAGAAAAAAATGAAATCCAGGACATGGTTTACATGGTTGCAAAGAGCATGTTTTGAGGGATCAGAATCAGTTTTCAGACTTTGAATATGTCGATTTTAAGCCGAGTTATAATAAATTTGGGAAAATGTGGCCTAGTTTTGGATTTCTAGGCCACCTAACTGAAATGGGCATAACTCGGCTTAAAATCGACATTTTCGAAATCCGAAAGCTGATTCTGAATCCTCAAAACATGTCCTTTGCAACCTTGTACACCATGACCTAGTTTTAGAATTACTAGCCATTTTCTAGGCCATGACCTAGATTTCCAAAAATTGGTGAATATGTTCCAGAAATCATGGATTCCTGGATACTTGGATTCTTAGCTGGATTCCTACTCTCCTGAAATTCTAGATCTTTTACCGGTTTACGGTATTCCTAGCTTTCAAAGCAATCCCTTCTTTTCCAGACCACGTGGCTCCTGCGTCTCGCTTGCTATACAGCCGACGTCGTTGCATCTCAAGTCGTCGAACTCCTCATCGTGGCGGTCCGTGATTCATCCGTCGGCGGACAACTCAGCATCCAACTGGCCGATAGTATAATCGAAGCGGAGAATGGAGAGTTCATTGAGAAAATCATCAAACGATTCTTAATTGGAAAAGATGAACAATTGAGATGGACACTTCATGGAATGCTTCGTTCTGTTATCCAATTGGCCTCTCGTCAAAATCAGTGCTCTATCGTCAAGAAGCTCTACAATATGATGTATCCATTGGTGGCAAATCTTGGAGTGCAGGGTGCCCAACTAGTCGATCTGATTGCCACGTACGCTCCTCGCGTCTTTAGCTCTTCTGAGCTCGTTTCAATGACACAATCGGAAATCTCAACCATCCAAAAACTGAGCAATCTTCTGAATGAAGAAGGATATCGAGGGAATTATAGGTTGATGAGTGAATTGGGTCTCGGATGGAAGGCGATTCAATTCGACCGTAATCCGTGTCTGGTGTGTTTCCAAACGAAAGGAAGTCACGATGTGGTGAAGATGACATCGATGCGGCAAGACGCTAGATACTCGCCCAACACGATGATTTATAAGCTGATTTCGAACTATGAGATTTCGAAGGTACTGTAGCTAGTTTTGTTTCTTATTCTGAAAATTCTGAAAATTGAAAAAAAAATTATAAAAAATCTTCAAAAATTCAAAATAAATAAAATAAATATGGAAAATGTTCACAATTTCTAAAAATTCTATAAAAAATTCAGAAATTCTGATTTTTTTCAAAAATTTCGAAAAGTTCAAAAGCCTGAAAATTAGCATTTTTAATTTTTTTAAAGATGTTTTTTAAAAAATTTGATTTTCTGAAAATTCTCGAAATTTTAAAAATTTTTTTAAATCCATTCTTCCAATTCTTGGAGCTTTGGAATATGCCTAATTTCAGAAAGTTCCAAAAAGGTCTGAAATTTTCTAAAATCCGAAAATTCCAAAATTTTGAAAACATCTAAAATTCTGGAATAGCCCCATGCTTCGACTCCATTTATCGAGGTTATTGTGAGAGGTATCAAATTTTTGTCAACTGATAAAATGCTTGTGATAATGTGATAAACATTTTATCAGTGGAAAATTTTCAGATAACTCTCATAGTCATCGAGATAATTGTGCTCAAATTAGATGCCGTATTTGCTCTAATAAAAGCCCACCCAAACCGTCAACTTTGAGCACAATTATCTCGGTTTCTATGAGAGATAACGAACATTTGTCAACTGATAAAATGTTTATCATAATATCATCAACATTTTATCACTTGACACATTTTTGATATCTTGCATATAAACCGAGATAATTGAGCCCAAAGTTAACACAATAAAAAACCTTCTATTACTAGTTTTAGGACATCTCAAAACCCCCAAAACTATGGGTGCCCTTTTATTACAGGTTTCTGATAACCTCCCGATTTCCAGGTCACCATCAAACTATCCGATGTGAAAAGAACGAAAACCATCAAAAAAGTGTCGCTCTACTACTCGGCAAAATCCGTGGAATCAGTTGAACTCAAACTGCATCCAGATCTATGGAGAAAGTGTGCAATGGTCACTGTACCTGACAACGAGATATGCATCAATTTGGCACTAGCCGTCCCCGTGGTCACTTCCTCTCTTGTCATTGAATTCGAAGAAGTCGCTGATCAACGTGGAATCAGTCAACTCCACTGTCCCAGATGTTCCGGTCCCGTTCGTTCGCAATCCGGAGTTTGTGATGGGTGTGGAGAGAACGCGTTCCAGTGTGTCAAGTGTCGAGCCATCAACTACGTGGAACGAGAGCCGTTCCTTTGTCAGAGTTGTGGATACTGTAAGTACGCGAGGATCGATGTTCTGGCGACGTGTAGAGCTCTTCCGGGAGCACAACACATCACTTGTGATGCGGAGAGAGGACAGTGTATACAGGAGATTACGCAGTTGTTGGTGAAAATGGACACGACGAGGACCAAGTTGACTGGGTATAGGGTGAGTTGGAGATTTCAAAACCCAAGAATCTGAAAATTTGAACATTTGGAATCTAAGGATCGGAAGATTTGGGGATCTAAAGAATTAAGGACCCAGGAATCTTGGAATCTTGGAATCCCAGAATCCCCGGAATCTTAGCATCTAAAAATCTAAGGATCCAGGGAATTCTAGGATTCTAGAAGTCTGCAATTTCAAAGTTACAGAAAACTGAAATTCCATAAATCCATGAATCCATGAATTCCATGAACCCCACGAATCAATGAATCCATGAATCCATGGACCCATGAACCCATGAATCCATGAATCTAGAAATCCATGAATCCATGAACCCATGAACCCATGAATCCATGAATCCATGAATCTAGAAATCCATGAATCCATGAATCCATGACCCCCATGAATCCATAAACTCATGTATCTAGGAATCCCTGATTCCACGAATCCCAGAATCCCAAAAATCCACGAATTCATAAACCCATAAATATATTTTTCCAGGCCGTCTGTGAGTCCCTCTACCTGAAGCCCCGCCCCCTTCCAGCCTACCGTCTCCACGTGGAAAACACTCACATCGCCGAATTCTTTGAAGCCAATGGATCAGTGAATACCGAACAACAACCATTCCAATCGGTGACTCAACCAATGGCAAATCTCTCCAACTCCATCAAAAACCTCCACGGAGAACTGTGTCAACAGACTCAACAACTAATGTACCTTCATGAGGAACTCAATCGCTATGATCATTCGAATGAGATCTCAGTTGTCTGTTATAAACCACAGAACTCTTCGTACTACTCAACGAGTGAATCCTGCTTCGGATGCCTTTGCAATCAGCTACTCCACTCCATCGCCTTGTTACACTCCTCTTGTGACGATGAGAATGCGTTGAATCTCCTTCTATCTTCTGATTCTGTCATTGAGAAACTCGGATGCCTTGGCCAAACGTACGAACCTCTTCGTGAGGAAATCGAGGAGCTCCTAGTCCGCCTAATGTTCAATCGATCCGATATGACAACGAAAATCCAGAAGCTCATCGAGTCGGGAGACGTCAACTTGTCGGTGATGGTCAAGTCGTTGATGTATGCGGCGGACCCGACGTGGCAACAGAAACTCAAGCTACTCATTCGATTTGCAATCGAGAAGCGGGACGAGAATAGTTGTCTACAGGCACTGATGGTGTTGAATAAGTATTTGGAGGCGACGAAAAGTGTGACTGTAGAGGAGAGGAGAAGAAGTCGAATGAGTGGGAAGGAGAGTGTGGTCAGATGGTTGACTAGTGGTGAGTTTGGGAAATTTGAGATTTTTGAAAAAGTCTTGAAAATTCCAAATTAGGATACTGTAAACTTTGAGCATATTTATCTCGGATCCTGTAAGATATATCAAAAAGTGGTCAAATCATAAAATGTATATCATAATATCACTGACATTTTATCAGTTGACCACTTTTTGATATCTTTCACAGGAATTGAAATAATCAAAGTAGACACTATGAAGAATTTTGAAACTTTTTTTTAGTTTTCCGAATTTTCGGAACTTTGGAAAATTTCAAAAGTTTTGGTGTTTCTTCTAATTTTTTGGGAACGGAAATTTTTTCAAAAATTTTGAAATTTTCGGAATATGTTGTAATTTTTGGAATTTCGGAACACATTTTTTTCTTGAAGTTTCTAGAATTTTCAGGATTTTTTTTGAGTTTTTGGAGTCTTCTGTTCTACAGTAATCTCAGAATCCTGCGGTTTTTCTCCGGAATTTCGAAAATTTCAATAATTCTGAAAATTTTCAAATCTCTAATTACCTTGAAAATTCAAGAAGAAAATTTCAACTCGAAAAATTCTGAAATATTTAAAAATTCAAAAAAGTTAGCGAAATTCCAAAATTGTCAAAAAAAATTTTTTAACCAATCACTTTCCAGACGACGACTGGAAAGACTGCTGCTCAATCGCCTCCACCTCTCATACCAAAGCCCCGCCCACTCCATCCAATCCCTATCAATGGATTTCCGAATGTCTCTTCTCCCAATGGATGTCCGTTCGTTCAGCAGCGAATCAACTGCTAGTCTCACTCTCCCGCCAATCCTTCCACGAGCCAATTTCCCTTCTAATTCTTTGTGAAAATATTCCAAAACTCGGAGAAATGCCATCAAGATCCTGCGATCAGTTCATGGCCTCCTGCCATACCATAATCGACTCATCAGCCAACACAAAAACCCGCCTATTCATCCAACAATTCCACGTGTATCTCATCCGACGCATCCATGAAGAATGTGCCAACCTACATGAGCAATCAATCAGCCTCCTGACTGATAACTCGTTTGGAGAACGTCTCCGTTGTTTCGTTGAACTCTTATCACTTCTTTTATCTGGATCCAATGTTGAGAATGTGCTTCTGAAGGCTGGTGCCGATGATTTATTGATTTTCTTGTTGCACTCGACGATTTTCCTGAAACGAATGATGACTCGACGAACGAGAGCGATCGATTCGTCGCGGATTGCGTTGGAGAAGCTGTTGAAAAGGGTTTCGAGTCGGGATGGGACCAAATTGATGAGTGTATGTGTGGAATCGCTGAAGCTGGTTAAGGATACGTCGACGCTGGTGAGTGAGGGGACATCTGGGCACATAGACAGTTACAGTAGTCCTACATAAATCCCTTGAAGATTTCAAACAATTTGTTCCACATGAATCCGACATAAAACAAAAATAGCATTAGCTACATTAACCAGGCAGTAGTCTTTGCGAGTTTTTACATTGAAAAAACCACTACAGTAATCCAACAGTAATCTGGAAATCTAAACAGTTAGAAACTGGAAGCTTCAGTTACAGTAATCCTTTAGTATATTAGATTAAATATCGCTTATAAAAAATAACTGGAAAATTGGTTACAGTAATCCTACAGTAATCCTAGAGAAGTTACACATTGTGTCAAGTGGACTAGACCTGAAAACTTGAATAACTACCAGAATCCAAAAGTAACTCGAAGTTCGCATTTTGTTTTTCGAAAACCCCGGGAGCCTGATCACAGTACTCCTACAAACCCTTTGGAATTTGGGATACTTTTGCCACGTGGATTTTTGAAAAAAAAACAAGAAAATTAGAGATACAGTAGTCCTACAGTAACCTGAAACCCAAACAGTCCGGAATTGGAAGTTTCAATTACAGTAATCAAGTAATCCCTTGAAAATTTCTCAATTTTTGCCATTTGGATTTGCAGTATCCCGGAATTAAAAAAAGATAGAATACCGTAGTCTTACAGTAACCCCGAAAATCAAAATTCGTTTTTCCCAAACCCCGGAAATTTGACTACAGTAACCCTACAGTAATCCCTCGAAAATTTCGAATTTTTGCCACGTGGATTTTCGAAACACACAAAAATCAGAGATACCGTAATCCTACAGTAACCCCTGGAAGTTCAAAAAGAGACCTAATTAGTAGAGAAAGAACAGAATTTCGGACATCCAGACACACGGAGACACTAATTAGCCCTCAATTAATAAAAATTAGAGATACAGTAATCCTACAGTAACCGCAATTATAATTTTCTCCAGGGAATCATCGTTGGCGTCATGATGGAAATTATGAACCCACAACAGCAACAGGAGGAATCGTTCTACATTCAAATCGAGAAAGATGTGGCTCAGGAGGATTTCTTGCAGGGCAGAATGGCCAATAATCCATATAGTGTAAGTGCGCTCTACTGGAAATTTTCTGAAAAATTCGATTCAAAGTTCTAATCAGAGCATATTTGCAGTCTTCGGATCCTGGCATGGGACCACTGATGAGAGACATCAAGAATAAGATCTGTCGTGACACGGAAATGATAGCCCTGATGGAGGATGATAACGGAATGGAGCTACTCGTCGGTGGAAATATAATATCACTTTCTCTATCAGTTCGAGATGTCTATGATCGTCTATGGAAGCGGAATAACATTGGAGCGCCGATGCTGATCGTGTATAGAATGCGTGGATTGATGGGCGACGCTGTGGAGACGTTCATTGAGAATTTCGGTGTTGCGGAGGACTCGGATGAGGATGCAGAGGAGGATGAGCAATTGGCAAAGATGACCAGCTGTTTGACGAAGTGTGGAGGGATCGATAAGCTGATGGATTTGCTGGCGACTAGTGTGGATTCGAGTTCGGGAAGGTGCGATGTTTGGGATGTTTGAAAATACAGTACTCTTGGAATTTTAGATTCATGGATTCATAGTACTACGGATTTATGGATTCATGGTACCAAGGGTATTATGAATTCATGGATCCGTGGGTTCATGGATTCATGGGTTTATGAATTCATGGGTTCATGGGTTCATGGTATCGTGCGTTAATGGTACCATGGGTGCGTGGATTCATGGTACTATGGATTTATAGATTCATGGATTTATGAATTCATGGGTTCATGGTACCATGGTACTATGCGTTAATGGTATCATGGGTATCATGGTTTCATGGAACCGAGGATATTATAGATTCATAGTGCCATGGGCTCAAAATTATATGGATTCATGGATTCATAGATTTATGGTACTCTGGATTCATGGATTCGCGGATTCATGGGTTCATGGAATCATGGTACCACGGGTTCATAGTTATCTAGGTTCTCGGATTTTTGGATTTATGGATTCTTGGGTTCATGGTATCATGCGTTAATGGTACTATGGATTCATGGCACCAAGGGTAGCGTGGATTCATGAATCCATGAATTCATGAGATAGGAATCCAAAAACCCAGAAATCTGAAATTATAAAAATTCAAGATCCCCAAAATTCCAAGAATAGAAAATCTAGAAACTTCTGAAAATTTAAAAATCCGATCCTTTAGAATACCACTATTGAAATTCCAGATTCCTGCTTGGCCACCTCCGAAAGATCTTCGAACGAATCGTCAAAATTCCAAGCGGCCGTCGCGCTCTAATCGAACGTCAAATGCCGGAGAGAATGTTCTCAGTGGTGCGCACTTGCTGTGCGGATCCAACGAACGAATCGAAAGTTCAAATCGGTCTGGAACTCTATAAAGTCGTCGAATTCGTCGTTTCCGACAAACAAGTCCAAGACATTTTGGGCGGAATCCAGAAGGAAGATGCCACGTGGTGGTTTGATTTGTTCGAAAAACGAGGAAACGAGGAAGGATCAGTGACTGAGATGCACCGGAAAACCGCCCAACTTTTGGATCAAATGACTGCCAGCATTGGAAACGTCGTGCTGGGATCACATGATTCAGAAGACGTGCTCGTGGAGATGTACAAAAGGATTCTGAAGTGGGAAGTGATTGATGCGGGAGTTACTGCCGCTGAACAGAGAGCCAGAGTTACCATATCCCGTCGAGACCAGACGATAATGATGACTGAGCAATTGGCAACGATCACATCGAATCTTCTACAATCCACGTATGGCATCCGTCTGAAACAGAAGATTCTAGACTCTGGAGTCATTGATTCCACGTGTCAGTACTTGTTAAAGGATCTGCCGAACTTGTATCAGCCAACAGAGTCGCCAGAATGGAAGGTCTTCTTGTCGAAGCCGTCGTTAAAGGTGGGTTCTGAAATGGCGCAAGTCTAAAATTATCGATTTTTTAAAGGAGGTCACTTTTGGAATTCCGGTGGTTACTGTAGTGTTACTGTTGTTAAAGTCTATTATGTCTAGTAACAATCCACGTGGCAAAAATTAAAGTTCAGGGGTATTACTGTAGGACTACAGTAATCGAATTTCCGAGTTATAGAGAAACAAAGTTTGATTTTTGCAAAGTTTGATTTTTTTTACAAAGTTTGATTTTAGTTTCGGGTTACTGTAAGATGGGTGTATCTGGAATTGTTAATTCTGTATTAAATCTAATCCATATCAAAAAATGTGTTTTGGGATTACTGTAGGATTACTGTATCTCTAGTTTTCGTGTATTTCCAAAATCCACGTGGTATATGTTTTCGAAATTTCAAGGGATTACGGTAGGATACTGTAACTAAAGCTTCCAAATGTTTGGGTTTTCATGTTATTGTAGGATTACTGTAGTTTTCCAAAGTGTTAGGTCCCCTCCACACATTTTTTTTAAAGGATTACTGTATTCTATTTTTTGTATGCTTCAAACTTTTGAAGATTTCGGGATACTCTAGTAAATCCACGTGGCAAAAACATCAATTGTTTCAAAGAATTACTGTAAGTGGGTTCTTTTCAGCTCATCCTAACCCTGCTCGCCGGACTGGCTCGTGGCCATCAAGCGTCTCAGAAGGAAATCGCCAAAACGACACTGAAGCTAATGCATCGTTTGGAACAAGTGGCATCGGATAACTCGATTGGAACACTAGCTGAGAACGTGATCGAAGCGTTGAATGAGGATGAAGAAGTCAAGAATCAGATTAAAATGGTTCGAGATGAGACAGAGAAGAAGAAGAAGCAGTTGGCGATGGCGAATCGGGAGAAACAGCTACAGAAGATGCGGATGAAAGTGGGAAGTGGTGGACAGATTACGGTAAGAGATGGGTTACTGTAGATTCTGAATTCTGATTTACTGTTTTCTAAAAATCTTAAAATTTTTGAATCCAAACATCGAGGAATCCCGGAATTCGATTTTTCGAAATTCCCAAATTTCGAAAAAAATTGAAAATCCAAAAATGTCAAAAAATTCAACATATCCAGAAAAAATTCTAAATTCTGAATTACTAATTTTTTTTATTCGAAAATTTTGAATTTTTCAAAATTCAAAAAAAAGTTTTAAAAAGTCGAAAAATTCAAAAAAAATTCTTCAAAAATTTAAAAATTCCAAAAATCAAGAGAAATCGCTTCTAAACTGATACTGTAGATTCTAAATTTGTAGAAATTCAAGAAAATTCAAAAAAAGGAAGTTTGACAATTTGAAACACTCCAAAAACTCTAAAATTTTTCTTGAAAAAATTCGGAATTTAGAAAAAATAGAAAATTCAAAAATTACAAAAATTAAAAAAATCGCTTCGAAAAAGTTACTGTAGGTGGGAATTCGTGGAGTATCAATTTTTAAAAATCTCACAATCTTAGAATCCAGGAATTCAGAAATCCAGAATTCTAAAACTCAAAAAAACTAAAAATGCTAAAAATTTTGAAAATTCTATAAATTTAAAAAATTTTTTAGAAATCCAAAAAGTCTGAAAATTTTTCAAGAGTTCCAAAAATTTCAAAATTCGAAAATTCAAAAATTTTTCGAAAATTCGAAAATTTCAAAAAATTCTAATAATTTCTGAAAAATCCAAAAAAGTCGCCAATGTTTTACTGTAGATTCAGAATGCTTAAATATCGATTTTCTGCAGGTCTCCTCCCGAACGATCCACAACGAGCCCAGCATCGACGACACCGACTCTCTGACGTGTTGCATCTGCCGAGAATCGGTAATCCGTGGAACGCAAGCAGCCGGTGTCTACGCCTTCGCAGCAGTTGACCCGGAAACCGCACGAACTTCAACTGTCTCAATGATGGTTATGGTTCACTTGGAATGCCATAAAAATGCGATTCGAGGTGGCGGCGGCGGACGGGCGGTCGACGAATGGACGCGGTCGAAACTGCACAACGCTGGTGCCAAGTGCAATGTGATCACGCCGATTGCAATGGGAAATTGTAGTAATGAGAATTGGATGGAGGCGTTGCAGCGGTTTGCGACGGATATTGGAAGGATTTCCGGCCTGGCGCATGGTGTGATCAATCGGAATTTCGTTTTTGTCGATATTTGCAAATTGATCGATCGGTTTATTTATAAGAGGTAAGCTTTGAAAAATCGCTTTAGAACTTTAGCTGAAAATCAATTTTTTTTTGAAATATTGAGAAAATTTAGAAAAATTCGATAATCTGAATATCTCGATATCCAGACATCTAGGAGTTTCAGATTTCAAAAACTCAAAAATCTAAGTTCGGAATCGTGGAAATCTCTGAATTTCGAATTTTTCTAAAGTTCTGAAAGCTAGAATTCTAGAATTCTGGAAATTTGAAGTCCCAGAAATTTGGAAATTCAGAAAACTGGAAATTCTGAGAATCTTGGAGACCATGAATTCTAACAGAATTTCAGAAATTTCGAAGATTTTGAAAATTTTCAAACTTTAAAATTTTAAAAATTTCCCGAATTTCTGAAGAACCGAAAATTCTGAAAGTGGAAAAAATTCCAAAAATACCAGAAATTTTAAGAATTTCAAAAAGTTTGAAAATTAGAAAAAATTGCGAAAAAATATTCAAAAATCTGAACATTTCGAGAAATTCGAAAATTCGAAAAATTGAAAAAAAACCCCAAAAAATCCAGTTAGTCTGAAATTTTTGAAAATTCCAGAAAAATTTCAAATCTTTGAAAATTAAGAAACAATTCTTAAAAATCGGAAAAATTATCAAAATTTCAAAAAATCTGAAAATTCCAGAAATTTCAAAACAATTGAATTTTCCAAAAATTCGGAATTTCAAAAACCCAAAAAAACCCCAAAAATTCAAAAAATTTCCAGATCATTCTCGAATCAATCGGACGGCGGTGGTCGTGAATCAAACATGCAATACCTCTCGATTCTCCATCTTCTCGGCGTCTCTCTAGGAACTGGTGACGTGGAATTTGAGATTTCGAATCCAATGCAACGACTCGTCGCTTTCCTGTTCACCGAGCTCACTGCAGAGTCGTGGAACGAGCAGAAGAACGATGTGCTCCGCGCGACACTCAACGACGCGCAAACGAATGGTGTCGAAGCCACGTGGCAAGGATTCAAGCCGACGTTGATGACGTGGGCGCTGGTTGACGCCTACTTCAACAAGATTATCAAGGTTAGAGAGAAGCTAAAGAAGCAAAAAAGCCTTTAGAATGACAAATTCACATTTTAGGCTTAAAAATCAATAAATCTATGTTTCCAGATCACTGGCGAAGACCGCATCGAATGGCTCCGTGAGCATCTTGTTGAGAACATCAACAAGACACGTGGATTCGTCGAAGACTTTGACTCGAACGTTCTTCCGTGTGACGACATCAACGAATTCTGTGACGTCACTGGCGCACCGCTAGAAGAGCTCAACATGTTCCTTGCTGGAAATCAACCTTGAATCTATCTTCAAAAATTTTTTTGCCGTCTTTTTGTACCTAAAAATATTGATTTTTTAAATTAGAATCGAGTTTGTTTATTTTTTCGCTTTCCGATAAATCAATTTGTGTGAATTTTAGTGTTTGTACAAACAAATTTGTTATAATTTCAGAATTTTCCAAATTTTCCGACTAGAAAGTGAATCAATTGGCAAATTTATTAAAATCGGAATTAATGTACCAGAAACGATTAGGGCAATGTGTATTAAAGTGACAGCAGTAGCATAGAAAGCGAAGATTGTATAAAGAAACGGTTATCGATTAAAAAAGAGGAACAAAGAAGAGATTGAAGCATATTCACAAATTATTCAGTCATGAACAAGCATGAAGAGATTCTCAATCGCTCTACAGATGACGTCTTCTGAAATTTGCTTCTCCTGTCCTTTCAAGTTTCGAATCGTTTCTTTGAGGGTTTGATAGAGTGAAGCCAGTGACGGAGATCCTAAGTAGAGGAGTGTAGAGCTCAGAATCAACAGAAATTTCTCGAGGCTCGTTGAATCCGCCGTTCCAGCAACTGTGGCACGTCTTCTAACTGTGTATAGATTCGATTCAAGGCCAGCAACCAGCATTTCGGCTGGGATGCTCTGGGAAAGAAAAGATTTTTCAAAAAATAAGACTTTTAAAGGTATTGTACGGTGAAATTTTTTATTGCATCGAAATGTGCAGAAAAGCATGTAGATTGACATAAAAATAACGAAAATTCAAAGAAAAATCCTTTATCGAGGAAAACGCCTCGAAAAATAGGCTGAAAGCCCTTAGGGGCAAGCTTTTTCGCTTGCTTTTCCAGGCCACCCGGTGAGATAAAGCGCGCGAATTCAAACTATTTAATGGTTTTTTTCGTTTTTATTGTTTTTTTCAAAAGTTTTCGTTGATTTTTCTCCCAAATACATTGGAAAACTTGAAAAAACAGTGAAAACGGAAAATTTTTTTTAAAAGTTTGAATTCGCGCGCTTTTACTCACCGGGTGGCCTAGAAAAACAAGCGAAAAAAGCGAATTTTTTTGAATTTTTTCTATTTTTATGTTAATCTACATGCTTTTTTACACATTTTGATGCAATAAAAAATTTCCACCGTACACCGTAAACACTTGAAGGCGCTAACGTTGGGGGAGGGGCACCCAAATTTTTTTGAATTTGGCGCCAAATTCAAATAATTTGGATGCACACTTGAAATCTCGGTAATAATCACCTGATTCTGGATCTCCGGATCGCCAAGAGCCTCTTCAATTTTTCTTTCCAGCTCTTTCAAAGTGTGGCAATCCAAGGTGGAGACCAAATTTTGAAGGAACTCTAGAACCTTCTTCGAGCTGACATCACCAGCCGGCATATCATTAGGAACAACCCTAGGATGTTGTTCCATATGCTCTGCTTTGATTTCTCGTTGAATCAAATCTTCATCGTGTTTCTCTTCAGGTTCTGCCTTGAATGGCAACTGAATTCGATGTGATGGACCAGGACCATGATCATCAGCCATCGTTTCATCGTCACGTGGCACTTTTGGGGAAGACGTGTAATCCTCGTCTGAATCGTCGTGTGCTCTTTTGTTCAGCTCGCTTCTCCTTGAATCCATAGCACTTCTTCTATTCATCAGACTCTCATCATCAGCTATCGCTTCATCGTCACGTGGATTCTGTCCGCTTCTCGCAGAATTTACAGCCAATGAACTTCTTCTTTTAGATGTTTTGTGCTTGCCTCTCAACGTCAGACTCCCATCGTTTGCCACGTATTCAATGATTCTCGCTTCCTCGTCAACTTTCACAGAAGCTCTTTTTTGAAGTCTGAACATAGATTTTTTTTACAATTCACGGTCTCCATATATTCTCAGCGGAGCGCGGTTGCGCGCGGCGAAAATTTTTTTTTAAATTTTGCACTAAAAACTTACAATTTTTTCAATTTTTCGTTCATTCAAATTGTTTTACAGGCTAAAACACACATTTTAAGTACAAAAACAGCTAGTTCCGACAAAAAATGAAGCATTTTTCGAAAAATCGCGATATCTTTTCTCAGCTCAAAAACTCAAAAATAGATTCTTTACGATAATTTAACAAAAGAAATTCGGTTTTCGAAAAATGCTTCAAAGTCGATCTCCTCTTTCATTTTTTGTCGGAACTAGCTGTTTTTGTACTTAAAATGTGTGATTTAGCCTGTTTAACAATTCCTATGGACGAAAAATTTTTAAAAAATTGGCGAAAGTTCGGCTAAAAACGGGTTTTTCAGTGCAAAATTGAAAAAATTTTTGCCGCGCGCAACCGCACTCCGCTGAGAAAAAGGCTTGCAGTTCAAGTCTTTTCTTTTCTCACTTTTTCACGAAATCCGAATCGACTGGTGCACCTATTGCGAACAATATCTTCACTCTTGTGTCCATATCCAACTCATCTATCAGATGAATCTTGTGACGAAATCGAATTATTCGAATTGCATACATAGCCGCCGGTTTTTGCGGCGTCTGCGATTCTGCGAAGAGCTCACACAAGCGTTTGAGCACTAGTGGCGCCGTCGTGTTTTCCGTTTGTTCGGCTAGAAATATGAGTAACTTGACATCCAGCTGCTTTAAACCACTGTACGGAGCCATCTGGAATAAAATCGGATGAATAATCGAAGGAAACGGGGAAATTTTTTCAAAAAACTTAAATTTTTGTGTGAAAAAAAAACAAATTTGGTTGACAAAAACTATCATAAATCAGCGAATTTACGACTAGAAACTTATGGATTCTTCTCTTTTTTTTAGGGAGAAAAGTCAATAATATAGAGAGAAGGTCAATAAATTTTGAATATTGTCGGATTAAAAAAAGTGACACCTGAAAATCTCGGAGACGGCGCTCGTGTCGATTTACGAGGGGGCGGAGCGAAAACGGATACTGTAGATAACAAATTTATTTATGGATANGGGGGGGGATTTTGGGNGGNNACNANNAATTCGAACGTTTTCAAAATCGAACAGACCTAAAGTGGAACTGATTCAAATCAGAACAGTGTCTTTCTCGAACAAGTATCAAAACAGAACAAGGACAGAATCGAACTGTTTTAATTCGAACTGTGCACTGTCGAAATGTCCCAAATTGGAACGTCCNAATTTTCCGACTAGAAAGTGAATCAATTGGCAAATTTATTAAAATCGGAATTAATGTACCAGAAACGATTAGGGCAATGTGTATTAAAGTGACAGCAGTAGCATAGAAAGCGAAGATTGTATAAAGAAACGGTTATCGATTAAAAAAGAGGAACAAAGAAGAGATTGAAGCATATTCACAAATTATTCAGTCATGAACAAGCATGAAGAGATTCTCAATCGCTCTACAGATGACGTCTTCTGAAATTTGCTTCTCCTGTCCTTTCAAGTTTCGAATCGTTTCTTTGAGGGTTTGATAGAGTGAAGCCAGTGACGGAGATCCTAAGTAGAGGAGTGTAGAGCTCAGAATCAACAGAAATTTCTCGAGGCTCGTTGAATCCGCCGTTCCAGCAACTGTGGCACGTCTTCTAACTG